CGTATATTCAATACATATTTATAAACAAATTGATATATTCAATTTCGGTTTTACATAATTTAATATTGAATAAATAATATTAAATATAATTGAAAATAAATTAATAATATTTTAGTTAATTGAATTTTATGCAATAAATATTGAAAAGAAGATAACTATTTTATATACTTGTTGTTGCTTAATGTTAGCAAACAATCGAGTGATTATTCATAAACAACTAACAGATAAAAATAAATAAGGGCCACGTGTGTGGAATCCTAAAATAGACAAATAAACACTGACCCTTACAGTTTCAGCGATAGATATAGGATATGTAATAGACGCACGCTGACCCTTGCAACCTCAGCGATAGGTTAAAAATATTCAACACTTCAAGGTTTGAATTTATGGATGGGTCTATTTTAGCTTAGAAGAATAAAAGACATTGCTAAACTGAAGTGTATTCATAATTAATTATCCCAGCATATCTAAGCAACAATATAAATGTCCAAATTGGCTAAACTCTAATGAACATCCTTCACATTATATGCGATAGCTGCTAGATCTATTTATTGACTCTTGCAGCCAAAGAGCGAATCTTTTTTTTAATTGGCAACTGTTCGTTTGATTCATTGGGATTTCTTTGGGGTTTTATGTGTGCATGAGAGACTTGAGTTAATTACAACTTAAATTGCTGGCAGCTGCAATGGTCAATGACCAACAGCCGCTGACCCAATTAGTTGAAGCAGCTCAATGAAAGGGACCAAGGAGCAACGGCAGCGGCAACAGCAGCGGCAATAGCAGCCGAAAAGGGCAACAGGACGCAGCAGGATGGCATAACCAAAGCCATCTCTGTACAAGCGGCATTCATTTCAAATTCTGTTTATGGAGTTTTAGTAAAGTGGCTTCACATTTTGCAGTACCAAAACATGGTATACTCTAACTAAAGCTCCATGAATGTTGTGTAAGCGACAAGGCTTAGACTAACTGAGAGCTGAGTAGATAAAGACAAGAGGAGTCCTAAAATATTTCGCTTAAATCAATCATTTATAAATCATTTATAAATTATTATATTATATTTTATCTATCTATCTAGTTGAAAATAAAATTCTTGATATATAAAGCCCTGAAGAATATTTGAAGTTTATATCATCATTGATCTTTGCATTTATACTAGACATTGTTATGTCGGCACTATTTAAGGTTTAAGTTCTTTGAATCGACTTGTATTTTATAGTATTCTATTTTATAGTTTCCATAGAAATTTAGTTTTCAAAGTCTTTCGTATTCAAGCATAGAGCTTTGTAAGTACGAAACATATAGCTTTACGAGTTGAGCACACCGAAGCCACATTTCTGCAAGAGTATATCAGCTTCAGCATTTGTAGTTTCCCTAGTCCAGCTGTTGCAAGGCAACAACATTTGAGTGTAGCGCATCAAGTTGAAAACAAGGCATTTGGCTTTTCAATTACAAAGACAGTCGCAGCAGCAAACTAAACTGACAGCCTAAAAGCATTTTCCAGGAATTGAAAAGCGCAAAACTTGGGCAACGACAACTTTTCTTATATATATACATATATACATCTATATATATACAAACACACGTATTTTGGCTCTTCCAGATTAGCTTATAAATAGGCAATCCGAACAATAGAATCAACTAAATTTGTTTGAGCTTCTCCTCGTTGCTGGCACCATTCATGCATTTTTCATGCAACGGCCAAGATTCCAGCTACAATAACTTAACAAAGCTGTAAATATGATGAACCGTTGCCGGGCTGGGCCTCATCATTCTGTGCCCAGTTGCGACTCGAAAGGCGACAAACTTGGTCAAGTTTACGACTGCCCAGCGGCGTGCAGCTCTCTCAGCAGCCCAGCAGCTCGGCAACTCAGCAGCGAAGCAGCGCAGCAGTTGAAAAGCTGAGAATGTGGAGAAGGCAACTATAATTGTAGCTATACTACCAGTGCCACGCCCACTTTCGTTGATTCGCTTTTTTATATACCCTTGCAGTGGGCATATTAATTATGTGATACAGTGTTTAGATATATCTTTCTCTCTTTCTTTATCTCTTCTATCTTGATACCAGTTTATTAATTCTTATCTTTATGTCTCCCTCTGTGTTTTTTCTCATCTTTTCTTTTCGTCTCTGTCTTTGAGATCAGTTCAGCAATCTTTATATTTATCCCTCTCTCTCTCATGCGCATTCTATCTTTTACTTCACCTCTCGCGTTTTTCCTCTCTCTCACGGTCCTTCTCGCTCTCTGTTTCTTTCTACCTCTCCTTCTATCATTCACTTTTCCTATCTCCGTCTTTTTCTATTTTTATCACTATCTCCCTTTGTCACTTGTTTTCTCGCTCTCCATCACTTTCTCTCTTTCTGCGAAGGACTTCATATAGATTTCATATCTCCCCCATATTTAAGTAAAATTAATCTCAAAATTCCCATCACATAATAATAGCTACTGCGGCAACAATAGGGTATTCAATCTTCGTTCTGTCTCGCATAGGTTTTCAATCCGGTTGTTCCCTTAGCATTCCCCCGTCAGGCACTTGGCCTCCATAGGGCATAGTAGCTACTGTGGACCAATCGCATCAGCGCCAGCAGTTGCTTTAGTTTAGTTTGATTCAGTTAGTAGTTTGAGAGAGTTAAGTAGTTTTCTAAAGTTTTATGAATTATTAAGAGGATTTTCGAGTTTTCCGCTAGCCTTTCAGTTGCCATCCTCGCACACTCCCAACCACTCCTCCCGCTCCTCAACGCCCATTCAGTGTCCACTTTTATGCTCGTCAGCAAACGCCTGAAAAGCTGTCGAAATATGCAATTTTCAGTTTGTTTTTTAATTTTTCATGACAAATTCTGGCGCAATGCGAGCTTGTTGTCCTTGTTGTTGTTGTTTGTTGTTGTTTGTTGTTGTTGTTGTTGTTGTTGTATAGCCCAGCATTAGTTACAGCGTTGACTTGTTGGTAACTGGTTAGACGCCCGCAGCATGGCAAAACGAGCTCTGAGATCTGAGCTCCCGAGCTGCGAGCAGAGAGCCAACACAGCACGAGGCCATCAGATTTTTGGGCCAAAAATTAAATACTTTTTATTGTCAATAAAATTATAAATGCAAATTATAATTTTGTGCTGCCGTTGGCCAATTAGCCAGTGCCCGTGCCCACCCACTCATACCGAAATGAAACGAAATCAGCCAGCCAGCCAACCGCCCTCAGCCTGCCAGGCCGAGATAATGCGCGCTAGTCCCCTAAAACAGCTCGTTGCCCAACACTGGCTGCGTTTCTGACGTCAATGTTGTATTAAAAGTTGAACATGTCGCCGCTTTTGGTGTCCCTTTTTCGGTCGTCGGACTGTCGTCAACTGGGCTAACTGCAAAGCAGGTGAGATTGGGCTGGGCTGGGCTGGGGACTGGGCTGGGGTCGGGGTTGGGCCGATGGGAATGCTGGATTTTGGCTAACTACGTGGACGTTGGCATGTTAATTCACTTTGCAAATTGTTGCGTCGTTGTGGCTTTCGCACGGAATGCTAATCATGCCTAGGTGTGCACAAAACAAAAACAACAACAACAGCAACAACACCTGGCAACTGACAACAACTTTGTTGATTTGCTAAGTGAAACTTCGATTAGGCGGCGCAGACACACTGAAACGCGCTAACAAACTGTTGACGAGGACCACAAAGTATACAGTTTGAAAAAGTGTTGAATATGCCGTATTGGATCTAAGGATAAGAACTAGATTACTCTATATAGTAGTAGTAGTAAGTTTAGAAGTTGTAGTAGTTTAGAAGTTGTAGTAGTTTAGTAGTTGTAGTAGTTTAGTAGTTTAGTAGTTGTAGTAGTTTAGTAGTTGTAGTAGTTGTAGTAGTTTACTAGTTTAGTAGTTGTAGTAGTTTAGTAGTTGTAGTAGTATAGTAATTGTAGTAGTTTATTACTTTTAGTAGTTTAGTAGTTGTAGTAGTTTAGTAGTTGTAGTAGTTGTAGTAGTTTACTAGTTTAGTAGTTGTAGTAGTTTAGTAGTTGTAGTAGTATAGTAATTGTAGTAGTTTACTAGTTTAGTAGTTGTAGTAGTTTAGTAGTTGTAGTAGTATAGTAATTGTAGTAGTTTACTAGTTTAGTAGTTGTAGTAGTTTAGTAGTTGTAGTAGTATAGTAATTGTAGTAGTTTAGTAGCTGTAGTAGTTTAGTAGTTGTACTAGTTATCTGATTAGGATCTTCGATAGTCAAGGAATGCAGTATATTAAATTAAGCTATAGATTTCAAGTTAAGGACGCTTAATAGACTAATTTATTATTAGTCGTATAATAGTAGTAGTTGCCTGATTAGAATCATCGATAAAGAGGCATGAAGAAGGTAGAGCCAGAAACATGTATTATTTATAAGACAAAGTTAGTTCTTAGTATATTGGAATATATAACTAATAGCATATGAGGCAGAAACATGAAATTTAGATATTCAATTCCAATATTTAAAGGGCCCATAATTTCAACTACATAATCTAGAAATCATAATACACTTTATAAACAGTTTGAAAGCCATTGCCTTACAGTTTTAGAATGACTCAAAAAACGCACACAAATATTGTCAACTTTCATTCAACAGGGTATGTTGTAGTCAGGCATGCCCGTTTGCGATATTCCTACTTGTTAGCTTTAATTTTTTCGGCCCGGATTTCGCATCGGCTCAAGCTGCGGCCTGTGCGGCTGTAAAGCGAGCTGGGTCCGCCGCATAAACTTGCGCCACGTGAAATTTGTTATGCTCTATTTCGTTGCAAAGCAATTACCGACCCACACATAACGCTGTCTAAACAAAATAATACACATACACAGACACAGGCACAGACACATGCACACATGTGTGTGCCTATGTATATATGGTGAGTGCCTATATGAATTCAACTCAATGAGTTTATTTTCGTGTGTGTATGTAGTGTTTTACAGCTTACACACACACTCACGCACGCATAGGGGCACAAGCACAGCGGCAGCGGAAGCGGCTGTGAAAATTAAATTGGTACAAATATATTTACCTTTACCTTTACCTGTAGCACAGTGAAACCAAAGCAATCAGACACGAGTGTAAGCTGTAAGGAAAAAAAAACAGAAGACAGGGAGTGAGTAAAGTGAAAGAGAAAGTCAAAGTTGGTGAATATTTAAACTAAATCTAGATTTTCTTTTCTTTTATGGGATGTGAGGATAGAGAGTAAATGAAAGAATGTACTAGATAGACCGACCGCGGTATAGAAAGAGAGAGCTAGTGAGAGAAATATATTGAAAGATAAGGAGTCTCTGAAAGAGTGAGGAGAGAGCGATAGATAGAGTAAGATATAGCAGATAAAATATGATAGAGCGATAAGCAAAGAAAAGGAATGGAGAGAGATAATAAGAGAGACATCAGAGAGAGAGAGAGAGAGAGAGAGAGAGAGAGAGAGAAATACAGACAGAGGCAGAGGGACGCGTATGTAAGAGAGAAAAGAAAATGGAGAGTAGAAGGTGAGAGCGTTAGAGAGAGAGAATGTTCGAATCATAGTTGAATATATGTATATCTATAAAAACTTAGCAAATTAGAGAGACAGTAATAGGAGATAGTAAAACAGACCGAGTGAAATAGAAACAGTCAGCACTAACAAGAGTCAGCGAGAGAGATGGTAATAAATACAGAGACAGACAGAGACGAATATATTCGGTGATGGCTTGCTAGCTTTGCTGCAATTAGTATGCTAGGCTTTTGTTCATAAAATAGAAGAAGCTCTGGCTTCTAGCTTTGAAATTTAGCTCGCTGGCTTAACTTGGCTTACTTAAAAAATATAACGTATTCAGCAGTTAAAGCGGTTAAGTCGTTTAGTTTTGTTGTGCTTAGCTGTGCAAGTTTTTACATATGAAATAAGTTAGTTGTCTGCCAACTTTTTGGGGCAATGCGAGTGAGTATTTATAGCTCAACTACCTCTACGAAATGGGCCTAGACCCATTGGTGGGGACTAGTTATATATTTATTTGTCTGTTGCTTATTATAAATATAAACTTGGAACAAAATTAGCAAGTTAGTCAATATACATATATAATTCATATAATGACTACTTTGGACTTTGTGAAATGATGCCAATGAATGTGAAATGTCGTCTACTTCCGCTGAGAGAGCCAGAGCTTTAATAATGATTTCCTTTCATGGGCGTCACACACAAAAAGCTGACATAAAAGTTAAATTGTAAAAATAATTAATTAAACTTAAACTTGGGGCAAGAATTTCAAATTGGCTACAAAAAAGTTGAAGAGTCGAGCCTTTTTATGTAGAGTTTCGGCAGCAAACTGGATGCGGCACGTGGCAGGCGCTGCCAAAAGATACAAAAAGTGAAAAGAAAACGTAAAAACGGAAAAATAAAATGAAGAAATCGACGCAAAATGGGAAAATTTTGCAGGTTTTGCATTTGTTGCATTACGAGCACTATACAAATAATCGATAGCTTTTACGCAACTCCCCCAACAGCGAGGCATGATAATGGAAGGGTGGGGATGGGGGGACTTTGATTGGGGCACACGCACACACCCACACAGTGTCTGTACGTGTGTGTGTGGCAAAATTTGTGCAGACAAAATTTATAAGCGCATTACAAGAGTTCGTGTAGTTTTTGCGATTTGTTGCGAGGTCTCTGGTCGCCGGACTGTTAAATGGGGTCGATGATGCTGGCAAACGGCATATACAAAGTGCTTACAAAGCGTTTGGGCGATTAATCAGTTCAGCAGCAAGAGCAGCACCCAAACAGCAACAGCCATAATGCACTGATGGATGCCAGCGACTATATATACAGATATACACTGTACAAAAATAACACAATCCTTTACTACATATGATTCAATTATGAATATTCCTCGAATTGCGGTTGCAGCTTAAAACTATTTAAGCCGCCCAACAAATTTCTTATATGTTTTATTACGAACAAATATGATATAACTATGCAAGATACTAAGCAGCTTTTAATAAAGCAATCAGGCGTGTAAGCCGCTTTTAAGCCAAACCAACGCAAGGTCGTAATTGCACTTAATTTGGAATAATAATCGTTACACATTTCAAATCCACAATGCAATAAATAGTAAAAAGCTTAAAAGTAAAGTACTAGAGACTTGTGCTTTGGAATGTACACACATATTCACCGTATGAATACGTTCTGAAAGTTTTATTAAGATCCTATGCAAAAGAAATTATTCAACAAATAAATTGTCATAATATTGCCCACACTGCAGCGCAGCCCAAGCGCAGTCGCTGCTTATTGCGCAGTTAGCAGAGCGTAGGCTTATGCGTGCGTGTGAATGCATGTGTTTGTATGTGTGCATAAAATAATTGCAGAATGATTAGAATATCAGCTTAGAGGGTTCAGGGTATCTCCTAGTCGAGCAGTCTCGACTGGAGCCTTCTTACTTGATCTTTAATGTTATGCCTATAATTTGTGATTGTGGCATTAGTCATTAAGCGGGCTGAAAGTTTCCCGTTGAAATGAAAGCAACAATTATATATATATATTTTTTTTAATGATACAATTTTGTACTATTTTCTGTACAAGAAAAGCAGATTAAAATATTTTAAAATAAGATGCAGACATTAACAATCAATATAATCAGATGGTGCATATCAGCTGCATATTATCGATAACTACTAAAGCTGATGAAATAGAGTTAACGAAAGTAGTATTTGGCTAATTCAAGTATATATATAGTTTATATATCGAAGCCTAACATTTTGCGAAGTGTTGTTACATACATATATGCATACATATGTATATATATCTTTAAATATATTTATTTGTTGGTATATGATTGAAGTCCTTTAGGCAGTGGCACGAAGGAGCTGCTAGCAGTGGCAGTTCGCGCAAGCTACCAAACAGCAGCAGCAAAAGTGGTTTAGGTGGCTAATTAAGTCAATTATGCACTTAAAGCTTCAAGTGGCGTGCAGCAGCGGCAGCAGCAGCAGCAGCAGAAGTTGCACCACCAGCAGCAGCTGCAGCCACGCCCCAAACGTTGACTGCCTTTCAGTCAAACATCAAAGCTAGTCACGCTCGCAGGCTAGCGTGCTCTCACTCACTATGGCTCACCCTCTCACTCACTCATTCATTCTCACTCGGTCCTGCGCCTGCTGACGGCCGCTTCTGGTTTTTTAATAATAAAATGGCTTGGTACAGGAAATAACTCATACGCGCCGTATGCCGCACTCGCCGTACATCAGCGACAGTTGCTGATGCCGCCGTTGCTGCTGCTGCTGTTATTGTTGTTGTCGTTGCTGTTGCCGTGGCTGGCATTGTTATTGGCGTAAAGACGTGTTACTTACTTACAACAGTCTTATATATTACATTGCCCACACACTCATATATATCGACATGCATATATAAGTTGCTATATAATATCTATTGGGTAGTCTAAAAAGTTTTTTCGTATTTTGCCAATAGATGTCGTTGGCGTCGTATATCTCCAGTGCTACCAATCACATTGTGTACACATTGTGGTGTTCGATTGGTAGCACTTTAAGCTTCGATTGCCAAAAAAAAAAAATGTAATTCAAAGAATTTGAAAAAAGTTACAGCTGTTCAAAAATGAGTGAAAATAAAGAAGAAATTCGCTATATTTTGAAATTTTTGTATAAAAAAGGGAAGAATGCCACGCAAGCCACTAATGAAATTTGTGATGTTTACGGTGACGATGCTCTATCAGTTCGTGTAGCACAACAATGGTTCGCACGCTTCCGTTCAGGAAATTTCGATGTGAAAGATGCACCTCGCTCTGGTCGACCAATCTTTGAAAAAGTCGATGAAATTATGGAAAGGATTGACCAAGACCGTCACATAAGCAGCCATGACATCGCAAATGAACTAAACATTCATCATCAAACGGTTCTGAACCATTTAGAAAAGGCTGGCTACAAAAAAAGCTCGATGTATGGATACCACATGAATTGTCTGTGAAAAATTTATTGGACAGAATTAACATTTGCGATTCTTTGCTGAAACGAAATGAAATCGAACCATTTCTGAAGAGAATGGTAACAGGAGACGAAAAATGGATCAAATACGACAATAATGTGCGAAAAAGATCATGGTGCAAGAGTGGTGAAGCTCAACAAATGGTCGCAAAGCCAGGATTGACGGCTCGAAAGGTAATGCTGTGTGTTTGGTGGGATTGGAAAGGAATAATCCACTATGAGCTGCTTCAGCCTGGTCAAACGATTGATTCGACACTTTACTGTGAACAACTGATGAGATTGAAGCAAGCAATCGAAAAAAACGGCCAGAACTGATCAACAGAAAGGGCATCGTATTCCATCAGGACAACGCCAGACCACACACATCTTTGATGACCCGGCAAACACTGAGAGAGCTTGGCTGGGAAGTTTTAATGCATCCACCATATAGCCCTGACCTTGCACCTTCGGACTACCATTTATTTCGGTCAATGCAGAACTCCCTTAACGGAGTAAAGTTGGCTTCAAGAGAAGCCTGTGAAAATCACTTGAAGCAGTTTTTCAAAGAGAAACCACGAAAGTTTTACACGAATGGAATTATGTCTCTAGTGGAAAAATGGCAAAAGGTGGTCGACCAAAATGGTGCATATTTGATTTAATAAAGTTTATTATAAATATTTAAAAATATGATTTGAAGTTTCATTACAAATACGAAAAGACTTTTTAGACTACCCAATATATGCCTTGCTGTTTGACTGTACATATTATTGTTGCCTGTGTGTGGCTGTGTGTGTGTATGTGTCTGGGTGTGTGTGGCAGACACAAGAAACGATTTATCTCAATTTACATACTAAATGACAGGCAGAGTCAGGCTTTTGGAATGCGCCATTGCTTTTGGGGGCGAGGGGATAGGATTGGGCGACGTTGCCACAGTGGATACAATACACATGGTTGTTGTAGCTGCTTATCCTGCAGTGTAATTTCGTCCTTCAGCCAAGCAGCGTGCATCGACGTTTATTAAATGAGGCCCAAGTATTGATTTCAATTTTAAAGCAAATAAGATTCATTAAACCCATTTCTCGTGCCACATAAAGGCGAAAATCTGTTAATTACAATCTTATGATTTAATCACCATTGACA